GTACTCTCTTGATATGATGTTATATAACTCGATAGTTTGACCGAGGGTTTCGTGGTCAACCGTCCGTGAAATGGTCGACACAGAGGAGGGGAGTTTACGAACTGACCGGTCACCGTACCGGTGATATATTGTAGATAGATATACGAATAACGTACTTTGATTATTTAGAGATAATAACGTAGGTACATACATTTATACAGTATCTACCTATATTGTTTGTAGTTTAAAGTAAATTACTAAATTATTATAAGTAAGTTAAGAATACGGACAAATTACAAAAAACTACCTTCCAATAAAAAGGATGCAAATGTAAGCTCATTTAACAGTTTCATGTCAAAACTATCGGACCATGTTATTGATAATTAAACAAATAATTTATTCAATAATTTTTCCCCATCTCGTAATACACTGAAATCTCTTAAACGGGTCACTTCCTCCTTGATCATAATTGTAATTGTATTAATTTTTATATGATGTTCTCATGTAAGTGACTTTGCCTTTACGAGAATAAAATCTTTGAACTGAAGAAAAAAAATATTTAGACCACACAGTCGTGGACCGTACTGGGTACTGACTGATGTATTTACCCTTAGTTTCAACATAGTAAAATATCAAGCTTAAAAAGTCTCGCACATTTTTGTCATGCCTCTTAGACTATAACCTAAACTAACCTAACGCATACTCTTGTGAGAGACTTGCCGAACCTTTTGCCAGATTTGCTCCGACCCTAATAAATAATAAAATACACTAGCTTCAGACGGCTTTTAAAAGTCGATCAACGAATACATTGTTTTATTGTATTTTATTTATATTCAAATATATTGAAGAACAAAGTGACTTCCAAATATCCTTTTTAAGCCTTGTCAAAAAGGTTTTACGTGCCGTTTTACGGACTGTCACGAAAAGCGACATATGGAGTATGGATTTTTCATCGGTAAACGAATCAATACGTATCCAATATTTTTCTATTATCTGACTGACGGACTAAATCGAATCTTTTTTTTAACCCATTCGTTATACCTCTTGGCTAACAGCACTTATAATATTAAAAATTCATATTTGTCATTAATTAAAAGGGTGTTTTTTGCAACGACTTCTTTGTTTTTTTGTAATGAATATGGGCGACTCTGGCCACATTTTTTTAATAAATGTGATGTTAGCCAATTTTGATTTCTGGCCCTTATATTTATAATGTGTTCATAACACATACATGTCTCCTAAGGGATTTTCATCACAACCTTTTGCTCTGATCCAGAACCACTATCTATCAAATTAAATTAGTCAATATAAACACCAGATTACAATAAAAAAAACATTTATTTTTGTTACAATTAAGTGCCATGGATAAATTACATAATACAGGTGTCACAAAATCATCATGTTAATCACAATAGAAAATTTAAGATAAGATTTTGACTATGAATCAGACTAAAAATACTTTAGTCTGATTCATAGTCAAAATCTGTTTCTAAATATTCTACACCTGATAACAATGACAAGGAATCATCAGAGTCACTCTCTTCACTACTGTCTGCACCAACAGATATAATAAATTTTTCAAGTTCGTTTTCAACAATGCCATCTTTTAATTTGTAATCATTTTCGACATTTAAAACATGATCAGTGTATTTCTTCCAGTCACTAGGGGTAATTAAGTTAAAACACTCTATTATTAAGTTTTCCATTTCCTTTCCTGGTATTCCAATGTTTCTGCTTGCAATTTTTCTTTTTGCTTGACTCCAAACCATCTCTATTGGGTTTAAGTCACAATGATACGGTGGCAGCAATAAAAGTTCATGATTATGTTCTTTTAAAATCTCTTCAGCTTCATATACAGGCAATGTTTTCTTATCATTAACCAAACACATTAACTCTGCCTTTGTCTGATATTCCTCAAAATGTATTCCATTATTTACAAGCCATTTACGGATATCTGCTTTGGTATTAGACATTATAGGCGGTTTATTGATTTGTTTTATATGGTAGCTGGCATTATCCATAACAATTACACTGGGCTTACTTAAATTTGGTATTAATTTTTCTCTGACCCATTTCATAAAGTTCGATGAGTTCATATCATCATGATAATCAGCAGATTTGGATTTACTACTGAACACTAATAATGCACCAGGCACAAAACCTTCCTCAGATCCAGCATGCACAACAATATGCCGTTTTCCAGAGGATATCTTTGTAGTGACACCAGTTGTTGAAGGTCCTTGCCAAGACTTTTTAACTTTATAATTCTGATGTACATAAGTTTCATCAAGGTACACAATTTGCTTTCCTTCGTTTCGTTTTATATTTATTTCTCTCAAATACTTGTGCCTCCATGCAGAAATCTGGTATTTTTCTATAAGCATAGAACGTTCATTTTCATTGCTTTTAAAAGAAAATCCATTCTTAAGCATAATTTTTCGTAAAGTCTCACGGCTACCACTGAATCCTATTGCATCTTTTAATTCATTGTGAAGGCTTCTTAATGTTGGAACAATTTTTTTCACACAGTAAAATTCATTTACTTTATTCCGAATTGCACTTAAATCAAAATTATCTAAAGCAGACACTGTTGGTTGATGAGGTCGTTTTTTCCCAGGAGTGTCCCATTTTCCTTTATTAATTAATGCTTCATTTTTTATCCTTCTTAGTGTCCTTATACTTACATCTATAAAAGATTAAACACTTTGAAACAAAGATATGTTAAATGTATTTAAAAGCAAATAATGATAGACACATACATCAAAATAATTTAAATACCTATTCAACTATGAATGCAATTTATGTTTAATTTAGTTAAGTTTATGTGCATATTTAGCATGTATAACAATTACATGGTTTGATTAGTTTCATGAATTCTGTGAATTTCCTTGTTAAACAAAACATTCTTATGACATCATTGGATGTCAACAATAAAAACCAATACATCATAAAAAACCTATGTAAATATTATAGGAATACTATCAATCTATTTTAAATCAAAACAAGAAAAGAGACCTGTCATTGAAGAAATTTTTTGTAAGTACTGCGTTTCCGAATTCAGCATTTCTTGTTTTTCTAAAGTTTTTATTGCATTTATCTCCTCCATTATTGGTTGAATATCACCATCACAGTTATCTGAAATAGAGCAATATTTTATAAAAAATATCTGTTTAGTTAATTACAGAAAATTAAAACGAAAGTATCAAAATTATAATACAAAACTAACCTAAAAAAGATACAACTTTATCTAATCGTTGTAATTTCTCCATGAAATTTTTATTTAATTCAGTTTTCACTTCAGTAAACTTGTCAATCATGATGGAAAGAAGTTTCCTCGATGAACTTTTTATCGGCTTCGACATAATTTTTAACCAAAAACACAAGTTCAAATTCGCAAAAACAACAAAATTCAATATTCTTGAATTGTCTAACGTAGTGTCAAACTGACAGTTCTATGTTGTTGCCATATGAAAACGGAAAAATAGGTGGTGTCACGTTTCGCTTGCCAAACTCTAGTCGACATATGGTGATTAGAACTAGTGAATAGAGTTGTTATCATTAAAATTACGTAAATATACAAAAATATTCTATATCCATCAAATATATAATTACGGTAACATCAAGAACATATACTTTGTGAAATATTATCATAAGAAGATAAAAATAGTAAAATATTTCTACATAACGCACAAAATTTTGTATAATGTTGAAAGTAGTCTCTGTAAAAATATCTTGTATCATCAAAACGGCGAATTCCGGTGTGGTCAACCGGAAAATAGCCGGTATAAAGGTCCACCCCGCCTGATATGGACCGGACCGGCCACGACTTGGTAAAATGTATACGATATACAACCTCAGTATGTCGGAACTGAATATACTTTAATATTAATTGTAAACCATCTTTATAACATTTTTTTTAATTAATTCTGGCTTACTAAATTGAGACGTTGAAAATATAGGTGAAATTACAGGTTTGTTATATGATCGAAAAAAATATAAACCATTTTAACTTATAAACATTTAAAAAGATAAATTTTATTGCAATAATTTGGAAAGTATTATATTTTAAAAATTTGAAAGATATTGGTAGGTATATTACAAAAATTTGCTTAAATATATATGGTATTAAATTAATTACATAAGATGTAACAATTATAAATATAAACATACCAAAAACAAAGAGCCCATGTGTTCTTCGCTACCGAACCAGCTTCACAAACACATAAACATTAATCGTGGACATGCTGTAACTTCTATATTATTTATCAGATATTATTGGACTCTTTCTTGCGAAAACTTCTAAACTAATTTTCATAAAATTTGGTATACTAACAATTCTAAGTCCGAATGTTAATATAGGCTCCATTTGTCGCACTAAACAGTTCCCTAGAGATAACGCAGGCGAATCCTCTGGGGGAAAACTTGTTTGTTTAACAAATAAAAAAGGAGTCAATTAGCCTGTTCTCTTAGGCTAATTAACTAACATATAATTAGCATATAACCTTAATTATCAACTTACTCCTAAACACATTCCAGAAAGTTAAATCGAAAGTTCAGACACATAAATAAAACGCGCAACAAGATGGTGCTCGCCAATGTTGCCAGCAATTAATCTCCATTTCCCGCACGCACCAAATCTGCCGCCATTATGGCCTGTTTTATTTCATTAAATGGACCCACCGAATTAATGCGCAGTTTACAAAGCCGACGAAGCTTTCGAATCAAACGGGAGAGCCATTCAAATATTTCTATCCTCCCTTTGTAGAGGCTCTGTGAAAAAGCCCACTGTCTTTGTTTGAGAAAAATAGCTTTTATGTAAAATGCCAGCCGACGCCTAAACTCTATTCTGTTAGAAACATTTTATAGTTCATAAATACGAAAGTGCCGCAACACAAATAAACCTTAATACTGAATGAACTTATTGCGGTTACCGTAGTACCTAGAATAGTAGAAATAGAGCTCCGTTTCAACGGATTTATGTTTAGCATTATGTTTCTACATTATATTTTTTATTGTTGCAGGTGCGAACTCTGTTCGTGAGTGGACTACCGATGGACGCGAAACCACGAGAGCTCTACCTACTTTTCCGGGCATATGAGGTAAGCCCATTACAATCGCTGACCCTGCTCCTCGAAGTAAGAATATACCTAAGTTAGAATGAAGAATGTACAAGTGTTCCTTCCTATCCATTTAAATAAACAGGTTACAATGACTTAACAAGAAACCTTCTTTCACTTTAACGAGGGATAAAGAAACGACACCTCACAACATTGATGTATAAAAAATAGGTAGAACGTATGTTTTTATATGTTAGCGACAAAATAAAGGTACACGGAAACTATCACAGATGACTTAGCGTTGAACGTGAAAACACGCATCAAATAAATAGACGGCGTAAGAATTCCAACGTTCAAATAGTAACCCCAAGAGACTTAAGTATAGCTTCGTCACGCGACTAGAAGATCCCGATTCGGATTACTGCGTCGTAAATATCAAGTGTCATGCTCCGATCCGTAATATTCGGATTGAATCGATTCTGTCTACCGATAAGGGGGATTACACTCGATCCTTGGCTGGCACGGATGGCACCGACAGACATAAAGGTGGCCGAACTTATACAGAGGGTTAGTTTTACCTACAGTATCGCGTGTTTTTAACCGTGCCAAGCACCGAGTGGTACCTTTTTGGAAACCAAATTGTACTTTGCCACCGTCGTCCGAATGAAAATACGCTTTGACATGGCCACGATAACAATTGAAGCAATTTAATAATGGCATACCGCTTCCGATAAACAAATTACATGATGATGATAGTAATAATAACCATACCAGTATTTTTGTTAAGAAACATTCCATTGTTGTCGTTATATTGCTATTTGGTAATGGTAGCAATTTTTTTTTTGTGCAGGGTTACGAGGGCTCCCTGTTAAAGGTTACCAGTAAGAATGGAAAAACAGCGTCGGTAAGTTTGTGAATGTTTTATCATAGTTTGTATTTACGTTTTTATCAAAAGAATGAAATTCTGCTTTTATAAATCTTTATATTGATGTGAATCGTGTTTTGCAGCCCGTCGGCTTTGTCACGTTCCACACTCGGGCTGGAGCTGAGGCTGCAAAGCAAGATCTTCAGGTTGGTATTATCACATGCAGCTGTGTTGTTTTAGATACAACTAATAACAATATAAATGAAAACAATATCGCAGAGTCTGTTCCAATCAGTTCTAACTATTAAAGTTGCTTTAAACACTATATTGGAACAGCCTCCAATTAAATATAAATATTAAGGAGTAGTTAAATCGAAATTATTGATAGCAAAAATAATTACGATATTTGACTATCACTATATTGCAATTATTAAACACAACTGATACGGAATCACGAATACACATAATATTTATATATATAGCCTTTATAAAATCTGTATGGCTTTGAAACACAGTAAGGTACCACAGGTCAATATCTCTAATAAAGACTGAGATACATTATGAACTTACTATGCTAATGTAAATACTAATAAAACATGTAAGACGCACGGTGTTACTAAATCTCTTCTCATCACATGCCTACACAGCCAACGAGCACTATAGTTGATATTCTCATTGTAGACTTGGAATAACATTTTCCTGACTCGAGTAACCGCAACATAAGTTATGCTAAACCCATGCACATATCGAATGGACCAAATGAATGGGTCGTCTACCGAGGACATTAAAGCCTCCGAGACAATGATAAACGGAATTTGAACGATAACATGACGGTGTAAATACGCAATGCATGTCACTGTTTGACAGGTTTTGATGTCACATCCCGAGCACTGTGTTCTTGTCACTTTAGCAGGCGCGGACGCGGACTTCCAAACATTATACTCGTAGCAAAACAGTTATTCATGGTTCGCAACGATTCTATTATTCGCTGTCCAAAAAAAAATCTATTATTATCTTTGAGGATACTGCAAATGGCTGCTGAAAATCCCTGCAAAATATCATATCCTCCGAGTCCAAGTGCAATGTCCTCCATATCCGTCTCCAATGCGCCTCACTGCCTAAGCGGCGTCGGTGCCGTTGGCAGTCGCGGCTACCGTTCCATCGTCATTATATCGGAGCGCCGCACCGCTCGCGGCTGTTCACAGCAGGGCGTCCGATTCGACCCCGACATGCCACAAACGATTCGGCTGGAGTTCGCTAAAAGCAACACGAAGGTCAGCAAGCCGAAGCCGGCAGTTGCCACCGCCGCGCCAGCTGCACACCCCGCATTGATGCACCCACTCACTGGACGTAAGTACTGCCGTACGCACACACCGCCCGCTGGCGCTCGCTCGACCGTCCCGCACCCAACCTCATCTCGACACTAATGTTCTCACAACCCTCGTCTGGTGCGATCCTTACACTAAAATTGCTCGTATCTCCAACGTTCCCCTTACGTGGTCTGAATAAGTAAATGAGGCGTGTTGGGGCGTCTCGAGCTAACGCAACGGGCAAGTATCTGTGATCGCTTACACGTACCACGCAAGGCCTAGATCCGTGAAGCTATTATTGATTGATCTGTCGGGTTCTCTGCCACTATAGTACGTCTACTTTTACATGTTTTCATGATAACACTTGATTTTCTAACACATTAAAGAAATGGTTTATAACACACTTCGTGAAGACATGTAAAGCACTTTGTAAATAATGACTTATAGCAGTTTTATATTAGAAGCCTGTGCTAATTAAATCGAATTTGATTACACTTCTTGTTTGACATCTTAAAGGGTCTTGTGACATCTGGGTTACTTTACCTTCGTTATTCCGGTTTCCAGATGACTTCAGCATTTACACATTTTATAACCGTAATTAACTTAATCTGTCTCTCTAAACGTTGTCTTATTATTGTTTGGTAAAAGAAAAGTTTATGGTTCAGACTTAGCGAGCCCGTTCTTCCCGGGTGGAGGCGCGGAACTGTGGCACCATCCGTTGGCGTATGGTGGTGAACTACCAGCTCTCTCTCACGGCCTAGTGCACCCCGCCATCCATCCACAGATGGCGCCAGTGCGCTCTTACCTCTGACTAGCTGCCGCCGATAGGCCACACCACGTAAGTTCTATTTAGTAATTACATGAAGTATAAAAATAGCACAGTTAAAAGTTTATATCGGTCAGGAATATAGAAAGCTAATGATTTTCAAATTACAAAGAGTTACATGAGTATATAAAAAAAATACATATTCTACTCATATTTCATAGTTCCGTTCTTTATTTCGTACGATTAGGACATAAGATATCTTCTTACAATCCATACAGACCCCTCTGACGCTGGGTGCTTGCGTGCTGCCAGCGCCAGCGCTAGGCTCACCCGGTGCTGCTGTACCGACACATGCGCCGGCGCCGCCCGCGCACCCAGCGCACCCAGCACCTCCCTGCTCGACGCTGTTCGTCGCAAACCTGGGCCAGTTCGTCTCTGAGCACGAGCTGAAGGAGATTTTCAGCAGGTAAATAAAACATCTCCTAAAATTGTATATATTTAATGTTTTATTTCATGGGTTATTCCCTTTGCAAAAGCTATACTGAATGAAGATATTCTTTTGATAAAAATAGAGTTGTGACAATTAATTTAATAGGTATTTTTCTGCCATTTTTTAGGTTGGAAATTTCTAAATAAAACTTTAGGCAAATGGGAATAAACCTTTTTGTATCGGGACATAACTGATACGAGATCCGATATTAAAAAGGAAATTTGAAAACCTAATCGGTCGTCCATAAAAATATATAAGTTAATTTATGCTTTATTGTAATTTTGTTTAAAATGGTGACAAAATTATTGTAATTGATCATTTATGTCCTGTAAGCACACACGAATTCTCAACTTAGTCTATGAGAACAAAGTGGTCTTGGTACTTTATATTATATTTTTTTCAATATGGACTAATTTGAGTGTTAATGATACAAATATCGAAACCGTACGGTTTCGATTATTATATAATAATTATAAATGTCATGTTTCAATTTCAATAAGTTGAACTAATTTGAAAACGTATTTAATGTATGTGTATTTTCCACAGTGCATGTTGCACCGAATGTCACTTGTCGTCCACATGAGTACAGGATTTTTATGTTATAATTCTGTGACCACTCACACAAGTGAAATGTTCATATAAATGCCAATTTTATATTTTATATGGTCATTGAAACTTTTATGTGTGTGTGAGAACAGAAAGCCTGCACCCGTACCACTCAAAGCATGACAGTCTAAGAACACTATTCTCCACTTCGAAACAAAACTTAGACAGTAGTCCGACCGTTTAATATGAGAAAGTAATTATTAGTCAGCCCTATAGGAAAACACTATATAAGACTAGGAATGAGTTGGCGAACAAGGAGAAACGATTGTGTAGTTCCTATAATATTGCGCAAAGCCCACTGTTTTTTTTTTTTAATCTAGTGTATAAAGCATCTAACAAGTTTCAATTTCAATTGAATAGAAACATGCTGCAATTTAAACATTTTATTTAATTTTTCTTTTTCCCGTTTGCTCCCCACTTTAACAGGCCGTTTTAGTCTATTTTCTTCTTAATAACCAGTTCTCGCTTACTTATTTACAGCACTACCACATGTATTTTCATTCATCATACTTTATCTTTCTTGCATTCATCTCATTCATTCTTTGCGGTTGGGTCTGTCCTCTTCTCCTAGTCAATATTGATTTGTAGCCCTCAAACTACCAAAACCAAACAGCAGCATATGTTTTTCTAAATTTCCACAATTTTTGAACTTCAAATTTAGTATGGCAGATTAACATTTATTTTGGTCAGTTTTATCTCTTGATTAAACTAAAAGAAACAATTATAAACAACACTATGAACTGAAAACAATCAAATAATTAATAGATAGATATATTTCTCTTTTTCACTCACATAGAATCTACATCAAAAGTATAAGGTCGCATAAGCAAGCACACTGTTTTTTAAAACCGAAATGCTAAAAACTAATTAGAATACCTTTCAATCACAGTCCTATGGGTTGACTGACTGGTAAGACTGGAATTGTGTTTAAACATGTTTTAGTTAATTTTTTACCGTAGAGGCATTTGACAACATCATACCTACTTTAGCGACAATACTTATTGTACCTACCTTCTTGAATGCGAACCTTTTGATAGTCAGTTTTCTCCACGGCGCGGTCAGACTACTGTCGTGATTACATTTTATGATTTGAATTAAATGTTTAAGTTCTCTAAATACATCCATTGAAGAGTTTCGTTATGGAGAATTTAATACTTATCACACTAGTCGTATTATTTTAGCACTATAACAATACATAATATTTGCTCTTTTTTTATTTAGTTATGGTTAACTATGCAGCATTAGAGCAAAATAAAAGGAATATAAAATGTTTATCACGTAGCTTTTTTTTTATTTGACATGATTTTGTTGTCTTCGATTCTTTAACACGTTAAAAATAAAATGAATCTGTTCGAAAATGTGTAAAGAACGAGTTCTTTATAAATATACTTTAGTTTTTTTTTACAAGCCGACCTCTTCGACTTATGAACAAAATAAGAAATGTCTTAAATCCAACCGTTGATGAAAGATTTAGCAAAAGTAGCAGTAGTGTGTAGTAAATGCACACTAGTAAAAATGCCGGAAAATATTACAACTCGTTAAAAATATTACGTTCTAAACTTTATTTATTTAACGGAAAATCAAACAAAAATGGAAAGATAACGTCCGAATCGCAAACTAAAGCTACGTATTCGCACACAAACGCATATTTGGGGGGTACGAGAGCGGGCACAACTAAGTATCGTGGTACAGCTGCCCCGGGTACTCGCGACTGCGGCTCCTGACCGGCGGTAATGGCGGCAGCGCGGGCCCTGTGGCGTTTGTCGAGTTCGCCAGCCCGACTGATGCGGCCACCGCCATGGGCCGGCTACAAGGCGCCCTCCTGCTCAGCTCCGAGGGGGCAATACACCTCGAATATGCAAGGCATAAGATGGCACACAACGGCTGGATTCTCGCACATGAAGTATGCGCGTGCACTATTTGTAATACGTACCTACCTTATTAGAAATTAAATTAAAAACCCTCGATTTTTGTAATATATTTTGAAGCGTAATTTCGTTATTATTAAGATAAATTCAATCGACGCTTATAATTTAATAGCAAAAGGTAGTCACATAATGATAAGAATGCAGCATAAAAATTATATTCACGATAGTTCAATGTACCAACGCTTTGATCCTTTAGTTTTAGTAACACTGATTAGTGTATGAAACTGATTTTCTCGTTTCTCGAGCTTGAAACGAGAGTAAATTAAGAAGTTTCATACACTTCCATGAGATTCTAAACCTTATCTGAAAGCAAAGTAACTAATGTTTCACCATTGCACCTCGCACAATAGTTATAATGCCTGCGCGTTACTAAGTCGTGAATTTTATTTTTTAGAGAAAAAAATAAATTTACAGTTGTTCTACAATGGTGAATTGTTTCCCAGGGAGCCAAAGGCGGAGAAGAGGACGAACAACATTAGTTCGTTTGTGGCTCTTGGCACTTGACAACCAGCTAACTGAGGGACGCGCAATCTTGATCCTCTGAGTCGCATCGGAACCACAACGGGAGATGGAGCATACACTAATGACCAACACAACTTATGTCATCACTACGGCTAATATTGGATCAAGATTAATTGGTCCACGTTTACGGACCTCTCTGTATTATAAACATATAAGCTCTGTCTCCTCTACAGTTATGACTCCGATTTATTAATACAACATCAGGGGTGTGGTGTATTTTTCTTTATACCAAATTTAGCAAGTGTTAATTGTATTATCATTAACATTCCAGGTTATTGTTTACCGTTCATATAAAGTAATATAATTTAAAATTATTTTTTTCCTATAAATGTAATCTGTTTATGTAATATTATTCATTTTATTGTGTAATATAAGATTTATTTACAACTAACTTATTGTATGAGAAAGTTTGTATATTTGTTTCTATAAGACCGATGTATACAACTGAGAGGATTTGTTATGAATATAGCGTTTAACCAGAAATTAAACATTTTAGGATAAATCTCATTCGAATAAGCTAAAAACCAAAGGTGCCCTTCATAGAAAGATTACGTTTTGTTAATAATAATATTTCAAGTTGAATGATTTTAAATAAAGTTGTATGTAATAAATTACGATACTTTTGTTTTTAGCCTCGATAATGTTAGCGTATTTTAAATGAATTTCATGACTATTTCAAATTATATTTACCTAATACTTTCTTAGTGATTTTTATAATGTTCAATTCACTCGTTAAAGCGCTGGCACTCTAGTGTTGGTCTTACGATCCATTGTATCTGTAAATGGAAGTATCGCAATATATAATGTTAAGATATATTTATTCATGTGACATGGCGCAGGCCCCTCCGAGGCTGGTGTCATCGGTGCGGAGCTATATACCGCCGCTGAACTCTTTGCATACCAATATCCCATCTTACTTTTAGCCATCTTGTTTAGACACCAAACTTTCTTGTGCCTTGAAAATTACGATTCAATTTAAAACCTTCGTGATTATATTCTTAATTAGTTGGAGCTTTCCATTGAAGTTTCGTTAACAAACTTTGCGGTTCATGTTGTCTTTACGATTAGTATGCGATGCGACACATTCGAGATAAGTTCAGTCTTGTTGCGAGAATTTAGCCTTGGCCTTATGAGAGTTAAATAATTAAATGTAATCATTATAATTAATTAAATGGTAATTAATATGGCGCCACGTGCGCCTGCGCTGAATAGTGAAACAATTATTCTACTATCTGCATGCTTGGACGAGCTTTTTGGAAATAATCTAATTTAAAATTTAGTAGTTACTTTTATTGTGTAATCGTTAGGTCAATAAAATTAGATAAGGGTATTTATTGTAGAGAGTCAGCATAGTTACATTACTATTTAATGAAAATTATTCATACATAATAATGAAACAATGTAATGGAGTTTAAAATCTACTAAAATATTAGGATTAATCAAAATGCGAAGATTAATATATTTTTTATTTTTAGCTAGTTGACTATCGCGTGAAGTTC